CAATTTTTTCGAATATGGTATTTAGTAATATATCTCGACGATATTTCGATGTGACAGAACTAGAATCGGTAAAAAAGGCAGACAAAATGATATACTAATAACAGAACATTCACCATTTTCGTTCAAGATGATGGACTGATAATTGAATTTTCCCATATTGATATGAATAGACCTTAAGTTTCTATTGAATTTCACAAATCATTGCTTCTCGAAAGGTATTCGCATCCAAGAAAAAGTTGATTGCAGTTTCAAACCCACTTTGGTTTCATCCGTTCTTCAAGCTGAACTCGAACCTTGGTAGTGCAGAGTATTGTCTCAACACGTTAATCTTTATGAGTTCCTTTGGATGACAGGCCAGAAGTGAATCTCAATACAGCTTATGCATTTCCCATATCACATTTTTGTATTGGAATTATCGAATCCCGCTATGGGTGCTCATAATACCTAGGCGAGTACGAAAATGCAGTCCAGTCCAGCCTAAGTAAGAACACTTTTTAGGAAGCAAGGCTATGTGAAACTCAATGTAAACATAAGGTTTACTCATATTATTGCGGGAAAATTTGACTACTTTTATATGAGATCCACCGGTAGTCTCGAAAACCAACTTATGAAACGATATTAATATGAGTTATTCATTCAGCCTGAATGGGAAATTCATCAAGGAGTGAGGGCTTAATTTCTTGAACAGGCTTAAAACATACGTCCGGAGACATTTAACCAAGATATTGGGCACATTGTAGTCTGCTTGACATTCATTATAATCCTAAACTTGCTCAGACCAAAGTCTCTTAAGTAAGATGCTTCCTTTTCAAAATCTTGATAAGAGAATAGTTATTTTAGAACCGAGAATTTAGATCAGTAAACCTTCACCTGGAACTGGGCGGCGGCAAGTAGAGTGCAGCCAACTGAACCGTGGCATTACGAGGCGCGACAAGTATTGTGATCGTCAGAGGCGGAAGTCGAGCCAGCATTGGAAACAAGGTTTTCAGGTCATTGTGATCCGCCTCCATCTCGGCTCCACGTTGCGCAGGACTGGGAGAATCGCCTCTGTAGAAGACAAATCTGGGCGGCGGGTGGATGAATTGTGGCAAGACTGGAAGACCAAAAAAGAGTAAGAGAAAACATTACTTTAAGCATGATGATGAGTTTTTCAGGGATAGAAAAACTAATAGACATGCTAATGACAGATGTGAAGTTAAGTTGATCAGAATTGGGAAATTAAGAATAGGATAAACGGTAGTCACGGTGGGCAAATGTTACAACCTGGAGAAGTTTCGTTTGCTGGAAATAGTTTAAGGTCGCTTTCACAACTTGGACCTAGATAAACACACCCTGTCCGAATACCTCTGTCATTATAAGTTCGATAATTCCCATTGTCGGATCGTAAACTCGATATATTCCCAAACGTTTCATCAGACCCATAGTCGGCATTATTAATAAATATTGCAATACCTCGTCAAAGAGACGAGTGGAGTCCATCCCTCGACCCAATTTTGCAGATATACATTGTAAATATATATATATATAATAGGAGAATTCAGGAAAAACCTCGAATTATAAGAAATGGTTAGTTTGTCTGACATTAATTTCGCAACTGTCTGGTGGTGTCAGGAGGGTTATAAAAAGTGTAACTAACCCTGCATCCTCTACCAGGGCAGTCATGATGATTTCTAGCCCAAGGCCGTTGACTTGGTACATTTCCAGATGTTTTACTGGCATCGTAATTGCGGCATCAGCAAAAATTATTATTCCTAACTCTGAGTATCAACTCGGAACAATTTCCTATTCAACAGTCATGGTTTCTATCCTAGCGTGGTATTCTCATCCATCAATCCCAGTTCAGATGAGCAATTTCCCAATTCACACCCCTCTGTATCTTTGTATGTTCCAATAATTCCCAAAAATGGGTCAGAAACCGACAGTGAAGGTGTTTGCGCTTT